TTGAAATTATAGAAGGTCACTCAAGGGAATTCCTTTTCAACGGTGGGACCATAAAAAGTACGAATATATGTACGAAAAGTAGCTTTAAGAATCAAAAACATCTAAAAAAATCGAGAATTTTCACAATTTTTGGAAGTAGAGCGTTTTTTTGAAGGTGAAGGAGTAAGATTTTCGATATAACACCTTCTTTGAGAAAATTGGCTGGTAGAAAATTTAATTCCGAACCTACGATTTTCCCTCAAATCCCTCTTATCGTTTTCAAACTACAGCTGTTTTGAAAAAAACGTGTTTTTCCAAAAACGAGGATTTTAATGAATTTTTTTTGCTGGGGGGGTTGAATGTTGAAAATGGTTTATACGAATTTCACCGGTAATGTAAGATCCCGTACTACAAAACTACAAAATTTCAAGTCTCTAGCACGTTTCTTAACGGTTCAGATGAGCGTACGAAAGTAGGTTTTTTTCAATGTTATTTCCCCCAAGAATAACATGGGGAGGGAATAGGTAATTTAGAGGGGGTTGACAGGAAAAATTCGACTTTTCGGAATTTTCCTGAGTGGTTAGGCCAAAGACCCACGTGCGTGCCAAATTTCATCTCCCTGGCACGTCTAGAAGTGCCCAAACATGCCTGTCAAAACATGATAATTCTCCATAAGAAAATACGTTAAAATTTATCTTTTTGATTGAAAATTCGCTATTATAAATTTTTTTCGTAAATTAAAATTATAGAAGGTCACTTTAGTGACTTTCCTTTCAATGTTGGTAGCATAAAAAGTAGAAATATATATACGAAAAGTCGTTTTAAAAATTAAAAACACGTAAGAAAATCGAGAATTTTCAAAATTAAAATTATAGAAGGTCACTCAAGGGACTTTCTTTTCAACGTTAAGACCATAAAAAGTACAAATATATGTACGAAAAGTCGTTTTATAAATTAAAAACACCAAAAAATCAAGAATTTTTACAATTTTTCGAATTAGGGCGTTTTTTGAAGGTGAAGGAGTCAAATTTTCGATATGACCCCTTCTTTGAGAAAACTGTCTTGTAGAAAATTTAATTCTGAACCTACGATTTTCCCTCAAATCGATTCTAGCTCTTACCGTATTCGAGCTACAGCAGTTTTTAAAAAACATGTTTTTCCCAAAAAAACTAGGGTTTTACGGGATTTCTTTTGGCGGGTTTCAGTTGGAAAAACTAAATTTTGGGACTCTCTGGGTGGTTTGGTACCCAGACGAACCTTTAAACAAAAATTTCAGCTCCCTAGCTACTCTAGAAGTGACAAAAATGTTTTTTCTGTCACCAAACGCCCATATTTCACCTACTGACGTTTACGTCTAGTTTGCCTGTCGACGCATGTTAATTCTCCATAAGAAATACATTAAAAAACGATCTTTTTTATTGAAAATCCGCCATTTTGAATTTTTTTTAGGTTAAAATTATTGAAGGTCACTCTAGGGACATTCCTTTAAATGTTGGGAGCATAAAAAGTAGAAATATATATACGAAAAGTCGTTTTAAAAATTAAAAACACGTAAAAAAATAGAGGATTTTCACAATTTTTGGAGTTAGAGCGTTTTTTGAAGGTGAAGGAGTGCGAATTTCGATATGACGCCTTCTCTGAGAAAACTGTCTTGTAGAAAATTTAATTGCGAACTCACGATTTTTCCTCAAATCGATTCTAGCTCTTACGGTTTTCGAGCTACAGCCGTTTTAAAAAAACATGTTTTTCCGAAAACCGAAATTTTTATGGAATTTTTTTTGGGGGGGTAGAATTTTGAAAATGGGGTTATTAAGGATATTACCGATAATTTAAGATCCCATAGTACAATACTACGCAAATTCTAAGTCTCTAGCACGTTTCTAAACGGTTCAGATGAGCGTACGAAAATTGGTGTTTTTCAACGTTATTTCCCATAAGAATAACATGGGGGGGAAATCGTTAATTTAGGGGGGGTTGGAAGAGGAAAATGCCACTTTTCGGATTTTTCCCGGGGGTCTGGGCACTAGACCTTCAAAACACCGAAAATTTCACGTCTCTAGCTCATCTAGAAGTGCCCAAACATTAGTATACGTTACTAGTTACACATCCGGCTGTATAATATAAAGGTTGGGATTCAGTGAACCAGAAAGCTTCAGATTTTTAAAACAATTTAGTTTTGCCTCAATATCTGGATAAAATCTGCAGTGTCAGGCAGGTAGTCGGATAAATGATATAATCTAAATGTAAATTTTAGCGTAAATTACAATGAAGAAGATTACCTACTTACTCTTTTGCCTGACACAAACTTACTACTAAGTGATTTGTCTAAATAACATACAGTTACAACTCATTGTACTTTTGAAGTGCAGTTTTAAGATAAAGTGTGGAATTTATTTTTTACTTTAAGCATTTGTTTTATAAATATAGCAAAGAATAACTGAATAAGTTCTAGTCTAAATAAGTAATATAGTTTACAAATGAGCGCTCACTTGAGGATTCCCTTATTTTTAACAAAGATACATTTCAAATTAACCTTTACAATAAAATAGATTAGACATTCTCTGTAATAAAGCACTGTTTTAGCACAACATCTATAAGAAAGATGTATAGTAAATTGTACCTAAATATAATAGTTGTTGCACAAACCTTTATGTACAGTATGTTTCTATAAAATTATGACAAAAATAATTATCTTAACAGTAAAATAAATCCGAATAGGTTTGCCTGTAATACTTTTATATAAATATTCTGAGTCATGAATAAGAGGAATACACATATAATGATTGTTTCATAGTATTTTTTACGGTAATAAACATATACCCCCGCCACAGCAAACCTGAAATTCCAATTTGCCTGATTGGATTTACACTAAAATGTCTCCTTAAAAATATCACATTTTTCCCTATTTAAATTGCATTAGTTTTTAGGTTTTCTACAACACGGAGGGTAAAAAAGTGTTTTCTTTGTAAATTGTTAATATTTAAGTATAAAATAAATTGCATTTTTCAAATTTGATCAAAATATGTTCATAAACAAGGAAACTATAACAGTATGCTTATGCTCCATAAGAAAAACATGGGAATTTAAAATTTACAATATCTTTCAATTTTCTCCGTAAAGATTAGGCGCATAACAACGCTTCGATATACTATTTTTTTAAGCTCTACAAAATGGTTTGGAAAGAAATTGCTAAATTTTAACCTATTTTTACCACATAAAACCTCCCATAAACCCCCGTTTCCATAGTCCGACCATGCAGGTTCCCGAACTCGTTCGAATAAATATAGGTTTACACCTTTATACCAAATTTCATAATCATAATAATAATAGTGCAGATAACAGGTATATATATGCTACAACTTAGTAGAGTAACTGCTTTCAAGTTACAAATTAAGATTTTCCAAGGCTTAATAAATTTGAGAATGCTCTGGAAGCCTAATATTTGAGTTGTTTGTTGTTTTAATATCTGATCTATTAACCATTAAACTTTTTATAAATACCAGTTATAGGTTCAATGATTATTGACAACAACTATTGTATGCAAAATAATGTCGTTATTAACTTTAGTTAAACATTTTGATTAATCGAAAGTAACTCAAAAACCGTTGAGTTTACAAAAGATTTACAAGAATAACTTTTTTAAGAAAATTTAATTACAAATCGATTGACACCTTAAACTTTAAGATTGGATGAATATTAGCTGAGATATGGCAGCTTTAGTAATACGTGACCGCTGGAGGTTAGATGTAGTGCATACCGAGGCATGCGGACTAAGTCTGCCACAACAATGCAACAGTCTCTCGTCCGCTTTGCAAGTTATTTTTAAACGATTTTAGATTATTTCAAACAATAATAAAGTATTACATTTATTAACAATACATATATTATATTACAAATTTTCTTAAAAAAGTTATTCTTGTAAATTTCTTGTAAACTCAACGGTTTTTGAGTTATTTAAGAAACAAAATTTTAAATGGCCGCCATTTTGTTTTATGAATTTTAAAAATGTTCATAATTTTTTCGTAGCTTTGTCTAGTTGTCATAAATGTTTTTGCAAAGTTTCAATTTCGTATCTCTTACCACTTTTTAGAAAACAGTCAATAAGCGAAAAAACAAAATGGCGGCTGTGTGAGTAACTAAGGACTTCCGGTCAATTTAAATATATTATTTGGATTTGTTTCTTACCCAGGAACAATACCCTAAAATATCCGACACGAATTCTGAAACACCCTGTATAAAACAATAATGTTTATCTCAGACTCTTAGAACTTTCTTTGCATTGAAGACGTTTCTTCACTTAGTAATATGATTATTTTTATTTTTTTTTTAAGACAAAAATAATAATTGTAAAATTAAAAATTGTAGACTTGTTGACAAATTGACAAATTGACTTATAATATATAATTAAAATGACACCACTGTAACCACTTATTCCTATTGGTTGGTACACGCTAAAAGTGTCCATTTGGATATTCACGTTACTGAGGCTATCCAATCAATACTGAAACTATAACTAGGACTGCATTAGCTAGAACAAGCACACATTATTTGAGAGCTTCTAAATAACAATAATAAATGTAACACTATTGTTAAAACCTACATTTAATGTATTTAAAAATTTGAAATCTGTTTGTACATGTATTAGTAGCATAAGAAGCATTAATAACTGTGGTATCTAGAGGAAAAGTGCAGATTTTTTTTTTTTAAATTTAAATTTAGAGAGGAACCACATTGCTGTACAGGGTTTCACAAAAATCCGTAGCACGCAATGCATAACCGGATTCTACATACAAAAATAAGATCCACCATTTTGTATTTTTCACATAAACATTTACATAAACGCTTTTATCTTTGACTTTTCCCAACAAATCTTTATGAAACTTTGTATGTAGGTTAATAGAAATAATGTGAGAGCTAATTATCTTGGTTCATTACAAAATTTCAAAATGGCAGTCATGTCAATCTTTTATAAAATCAGTCATTCCTTAGGCATTTGAATGGAAAAAAATAATACTAAATGCTTTAATAAACCATCTTTACACACATTTGATGTTTATTAGATCAATATTTTATTTGGGTTACAGTGAACAAATATTTGGTAACAGATACCCTGCATTACAAGAACCTAATGGTGGATTTTAAACACATCTAGTTTCCTTTGTAGACCAAAAGTAGGAACACTCAACGTTATCACAGCATTTCAGATGTTCCGGGGCAGATGTAACATTGCTGCACTGCAAAAAACAATAGAACACATTTAAATTATTACGTCATATCACTTAAATAGTCATTTGTGTAACAAGTGGGCGAAGTGGCACTTTGCTGCACATGAGGGAAATGTTTGTACATGAAAGGGTTCTTGAGTAGAGCTAAGGCACATTGTGCTCACGTTACACATTATATTTACATTATACATTATTCACATTGTATAGTACAAAAAGTTCCTAACTGCTGCATTTACCTACTTTTGCTACCCTCTTTTTTGCCGCACACCATTATTCCAACCAAACAACACAAAACACCGTGCTTTTATTAGGCACGTGTACGCGTCAAATAATTTGGCAATACTTAAAGATATTACAACTACGATCAGCTGTTGTAGTGTTTTCCATTTCGTTTAACGCTTGGATTTGACCTAAACGTGTTGTTAAGTGTTTTAAAGACTAATAAATTCTATGATTTATATTAACTGTAGGGAAAATATAATGTGTAACACGAGTCCCTAGTTACAGAAATAACTATTCATACACTAAACAACTACTTTTATGTTAGGTTAAATGCAAGCGTTGAGCGAAAATAGAATGTTAACACGAAACAACAGGTTATTCGTGGTATCAATACTCAAAGGCTGTTAAACGCTGCACTAGCTGATCATAATCGCTGTATATTTAAGTGTTGCCAACATATTTTCAAGCATATTACGTGCCTTACAAAAGCACTTTGTTTTGTGTTGTTTGTTTGGAATACTGGAGTGCGGCAAAAGTAAGTAAATATAGCAATTAGCTACTTTGCGTGCTATCAGTGCACGGAAGCCTGCTTTCTCAGGTAACCGTAGGAAAAATACGTTATGTTAATCGAAACACTAATATGATCAGACTAGGCAATTAAAAATCATTCAAACACGTACTACAAAAATATACTGTAAATTTTGGTTAATTAATTTATACCCTATTAATAAATATTAAAAATATTACTATTTATAAGGCAAATTATTAGTCAACTTAGTATACAAATTTCAAACTGTTTCAATTAGGTCAGATTTTAAATAATTTATACTACATCCGAAATTCTAATTGATTCTTGACTTCCTAAATTAAGATATAGTACCTGGGGACCGAGCTTTGCTCGGAGAAAATCATTAGTTCACTCTGAAAGCAGTCTTAGTATTGGAGATACATAAATCCATTCCCAAACTCCACACGGCTCGCCTTTACTACGTCCTACTCCATTTCCTACGTCATTGACCTGTTTCCCTCCATTCCCATAGCATTTCAGAATTGCAGACACCTTAATCTAATCGTCATAAACAGTTCCCACGCTCCATACTACTCGCCTTTACTACTTCCTTCACCACTTCCTACGTTGCAAACCTGTTTCCCTCCCTTCCCATTGCATTTAAAGATTGCAGATACCTTAATCTAATCGTCATAAACAGTTCCTACACTCCGGACTACTCGCCTTGACTACTTCCTTCAACACTTACTACGTCGCGGACCTGTTTCCCTCCCTTCCCATAGCATTTTAGGATTGCAAATACCTTAATCTAATTGTCATAAACAGTTCCTACACTCCGGACTACTCGCATTGACTACTTCCTTCGCCACTTCCTACGTCGCGGACCTGTTTCCCTCCCTTCCCATAGCATTTTAAGATTAATTTTTTTTTTTTTTTCTAATTTCGACATCATAAGATGTGGGATTGCCCCTGAACTGGTTATAATAACTAATATAATGGTTTTAAATACCTTCACTCAAAACTGACCCGCCTGATGATGGTACAACTTCGTGCCGAAACCTAGGTCGTAATAGCCGACTATTTTGAACTGGTGACTGAAGGTATTTAAAACCATTATATTAGTTATTTTTGGATTGCAAATACCTTAATCTAATCGTCATAAACAGTTCCCACACTCAGGACAGCTCGTCTTGACTACTTCCTTTACCACTTCCTACGTCGCGGACCTGTTTTTCTCCCTTCCCAAAGCATTTTAGGATTGCAGATACCTTAATCTAATCGTCATAAACAGTTCCCACACTCCAGACTACTCGCCTTGACTACTTCCTTCACCACTTCCTACGTCACGGACCTGTTTCCCTCCCTTCCCAGGGCATTTTAGGATTGCCCATACCCTTATCTAATCATCATAAACAGTTCCCACACTCCGGACAGCTCGCCTTGACTACTTCCTTCACCACTTCCTACGTCACGGACCTGTTTCCCTCCCTTCCCATAGTATTTTAGGTTTGCCCATACCCTTAATCTAATCGTCATAAACAGTTCCCACACTCTGGAAAGCTCGCCTTGACTGCTTCCTTCACCACTTCCTACGCCGCGGACCTGTTTTCCTTCCTTCCCATAGCATTTTACGATTGCAGATACCTTAATCTAATCGTCATAAACAGTTCCCACACTCCGGACTACTCGCCTTGACTACTTCCTTCACCACTCCCTACGTCGCGGACCTGTTTCCCTCCCTTCCCATAGCATTTTAGGATTGCAGATACCCTAATCTTATCGTCATAAACAGTCCCCACACTCCGGACTGCTCGCCTTTACTACTTCCTTCATCACTTTCTACGTCACGGAGCTGTTTCCCTCTATTCCCATAGCATTTTATGATTGCCTTTACTACTTCCTTCACCACTTCCTACGTCACGGACCTGTTTCCTTCCCTTCCCATAGCATTTTAGGATTGCAGATACCTTAATCTAATCGTCATCAACAGATCCCATACTTCGCACTGCTACCCTTGACTACAATGTATCGAGTAATCTTCAGTATAATCTTTGCTAAATATTAACAAGGGATGTTTTTCCTTTTGTACTGTATTTGTAATTTGCTAGTATACTGTGGGTAGTTGGCTTATTATGAACACATGCTACAACTTCAAGTCTTTTGTTTACTTTTTCCTTGTTATTTAATTCAGCCAACATGGTTACCTAGCAACCCATAAGACTAATGTTAAAAAAATGTGATTTTCAGTTCTATTTTTCTACGTAATTAGATTTTTGTTGGCAGTTCTAACCGCAGTAAACTTGTTTTTAGGCCAGAAATAAACTATTTACAACATTTGAAGAAAATCGTCGGAGCCGTTTTCGAGATCTTTGTGCAAGCAAGCATACATACATACAAGCAAACATTTCTCATATTAGAGTATAGGATTTAAATTACCTGTAAGCCCCTTGATAGACAGGCAAATGCTGGACAAAGTTGAAATGCCAACAACGACAATATCACTACAAGTAGAATAGACCGCAGCATGGCTCTGTCACCTACCTCCTCAGCTATGCAGTCACTGAACTGAAACGTTTGGTGGTTAAATGCTACAATAGGTCGTAAATTATTTGAGCTGATTTTTTATCAACTGCTATTGTTACTGAAGTTTACTTAAGGTGTAGAAATCGATTACTACCATGTCTCAGAATATTTAATCTAGAACATTTGTATACAACCATATTTCCTGGTCATATTTTTTTATTTTTAGCAGTAACTTAATAAGCATTCTTATTGATATCTATTTTGATCAGGTGTTAAAAGAAATCATTTACACAAAATTTCCCATGTTTACCTATCAGTATCACCGTAATAGTAATAAATATCCGTCACATCTATTACTACACAGGTTGAATCTGTACAGTAAAATATTTGTAGGAAGGTACGTTATCTTTAAGGTAGGTATTTAACTTATTAACCCTATGAATTACTTGGAAAAGTTAACGATCGTTTTAGTTTTAACTGTTGTCAACTTCATTTTTATAGAATCGGTCCAAACGCTTAAAAAGGTTGTCCTGGGTCAGGGGTGACAAAAATATTAAAAAAATAACACAGACCATTTAAATGCAAAAACATCATTTCAGTTTTTGTAACATACTAAGTAGTATGTGTGTATGTAGCACTACTTTTTATTATAAGGTTCAATTTCCTTTGATGTTATATTGTATTGAAAATTATACAAATGTATAATCATTATAAACACATGCATCTTTAACTAAGTGTGCGTCGTCCTCAAAACAACCCCGAACCAACTGTTGTTTAGAGTTAGGCACTGAAACATTCACCTTTTATAGGTCTCCGGCCACTCGTTATGCAGATGTTTTATTTTAAATTTACTATTGAGTCACTTTATATATATACTACTCGTATTTCCTATCTAACCTCCATTGCAGCTAAATACATTTATAGGAATCAATACATTTATAGGTGCTTTATTGAGTGTTAATCAGATTAAGTTGATTATAAAAATAATCCCGCCACAGCAAACCTGCAGACTAAGCGAATTTCCATTTGCCTGAATTGATTCTAAATTAAATCTATTTAAATAACTTTAGGTTTAATGAGTACCTATATTTGCTGCTACAGAGAATAAAGTGTGTTTTAGTAAAATATTTGTAGCTTACTATAAAATAAATACATTTGCCAATTTTGATCAAAATAATTCCATAAACAAGCAAACTACAACATTTGACAATATTCTCCATAAAAAAAAACATAAAAATTTCAATTTTGCAGTTTTTGATTTTTTTGTAACCAATAATTGAACAAAAACACTTTGGTATGCTAAATTATTTGTTTGATAAGCTCTTTAAAATGGTTTAGAGATAAATTGGAAAGTTTTGTGTTTTAAGGGTCAAAAATGAAAGAAAAAACATTTATAGCCCCATAAAACCCCCCGTAAAGTCCTGTTCCCATGGTCCGATCATGCTGGTTTGCGAACTCATTCAAGTTTATCCTGCCTTACACCTTCAAACAATATTTCGTCAAAATCGAAGAAAAAATACCTAAATTATCACGTTCCCGGACCTTTTTATATATACATATTTAAACATTTGAACGAATAGTGTTTATGGCCTCTATGGAGATCAAAATGAAAAAGTATATCGGTCCCGGCTCCAGGTCTTACCGTGCCACTTATGGTAATAACTTATTTTTTAAAGGGAAATTCACTAAAACTAACTAGTATATACTCATATCTACAACGAGAATAAACAACAAAGATTAATACGAATCAAAGATTAATCATCAAACATCAAAGTACCTAGGTGTGGTGTAATGATCAATAACAATTTTGAATTGATTGAACATCAAAGGTCTGAATAACAAATTAAACACCTAATTTTATCACGAACAAGTGTAATCAAGCAAAACACAATCTTTAATCTATTCTACTAATAGATCAGATTAGAGAAAATCTGCTGTGTTAATACATAATATCGCGATAAACGATAGGCGTAGAAGATGTAACGTGTTTGCCTCTCACAACTGCATTAAAGAGAGAAATAATATGCAAATAATTATTTAATTTTTTAGAGAAAATTATGAACACTACATAGGGTAACAAATACCCCACTCAGTTCATGGTGGTTTAAGAGTCCTTTGATTGGTCCTTGTAGTTTCACATTAAGGGTACTATACATGCAACATGAAAATTGTGAGAATCCTCTACAAAGCGTAAGTTTACCTTAATGATAACATACCTTCCCACAAATATTTTACTGTATAGATTCAGCCTGTAATGTAGTGACGGATATTTATCACTATTACGGTTATACTGATAGGTAAACATGGAAAATTCTGTGTAAATGATTCATGTTAACACATGATTAACATAGATATCAATAGGAATGCTTATGACATTACTGCCAAAAAGAAAAAAATACATGACCAGGTAATATAGTTGTATACAAGTTTTCTAGATGAATATTCTGATACATGGTAGAAAGTAATCGATCTCTGCACCTTAAGTAAACTTTAATAACAATAGCAGTTAATGAAAGAATCAGCTCAAATAATTTACGACCTATTGTAGCATTTAACCACCAAACGTTTCATTTCAGTGACTGCATAGCTGAGGAGGTAGGTGACAGAGCCATGCTGCGGTCTATTCTACTTGTAGTGATATTGTCGTTGTTGGCATTTCAACTTTGTCCAGCATTTGCCTGTCTATCAAGGGGCTTACAGGTAATTTAAATATATCTCAATTTAGGAAGTCAAGAATCAATTTGAATTTTCTGGATTTAGTGGAACTTTTTTTAAAAATCATTGTAAGTTTTATCCTTAGTTGCTATTAATTTTATTCATGTATTGTAATATTGTTCTATTCCTGGTTTATAAACAAAAATTTGCAACATATTTGTGTAGTAGGGGTTTGAATAATTGTCTAATTACGTAGGCTGCTCATTGTATTGTTTTCTATTTATATATATAATATTTTGAAATAAATTGACGTAATGCTACAAATGTGTCTTAATGTTTGCAGTGCAGCAATGCTACAAATGCTCCGGAACATCTGAAATGTTGTGAACACGTTGAGTGTCTGTACATGTGGTCTACAAAGGAAAATATCTGCGTTTAAAATCCGCCATTATGTTCTTGTAATGCAGCGTATATGTAACTCAAATTAAATATTGATCTAATAAACATCAAATGTGCGTGAAGATGGTTTATTATAGCATTCAGTATAAATATTAAATTGTTGGAAACATATTATTGTAACGCTATATCTTTTTCCAGTGGTAGTACCACAACGGTACTAAATTAGTTAAATACCCTGTAAGAAATGTAAAGGATACGAAACGCTTATAATAACAACTTATCATTCTGAATTAATTACGATTACTTTAAAAGATATAAAAAATCCTTAGGTAACATCTTTGTCTATTTATTTTACCTTCCCATCAAACGTAATTTCAAAAGATGTATTTGCAGTTTCTATTCAAGTTGTCGTTTTGAAAGTGAAAATCCGCTCTATTGGTGTAGCTTTTAATAAAATTAATTGCATTACGGACCACCTAGCAATAGTTTGAAATTCACTGGTCCAGAATATTTTAATTAACGCCAAATAATAATTTACGGAATTTTAATCAGTTGAGTTTCTATAACAATATCAGTCAATGTCTAAAATCTCTAGCAGGTTCAGAAAATGGATTTTCACATTATTATATTCTGTTCCGTGTCAACTGATTTTCCTAACTTTACCAAATTATATTTACCTATTATACTAACCGAAAGGCATGGACACTTCTGTTTACATTTATAACGTATTTCTTTAACTTATTTTTTTTATAAATCAACATTTTTAAAAGAAAAGGGGTAATCGTTAAACATTTTTGAAACTGTAAATTCAAAAGAATTGTTTGCATTGTTCTTTACAGATTTTTATAAATAGTAATTTATCATCCCAACGGATATTATTTAGTGACGTTTATTAGTAAAAAAAAGCTATTCCGAACGTATTTTGATATTTGCAAACAATAATATAAACGAAACGTATATTACAATAGAGAAACTAGTTTTACATGAAGCGCATGGAATTCGCGCTTCAGTGCATTAAGCTTTCAACTAAACATTACAAAGGGGGTTCATTTGTTGTATTTGGATGCGTATTTTGAGCAACTATTGAGTCCCACAGTTTAAAGTATTTATTAAAAAACAATGGTTCTAAATTTGGTTCAACTGACTGATATTTTTCAAAAGGTTTATGTTTCATTTTTGTACGTGTGATTTATTTTTTAAATCTAATTCTATAAACAAGCTAAATACGAGTGTAACCTGGAAAAATATTGATACCAAACTAAAATAGGAAAATTTGTTAAGGAATGTATTCAAGTACAATAATTTTACTAAATTCATGATCATTCAACAATCCTTAGTATAATTTACAGTAGGTTTAATTTAAAAAAGTTTATTTGGTATTTAATAATTAGATGTGTAGGCTTAATATAGGCCTAGCTCAGAGTAAATTTAATAGTTACTGACTTACGTAAAATCCAGACTTTGTCCTTCGTAATGTAGGGGTTGTAATCAAGACTTTTTAACTATTTCTCTGCTGTTGTGTGTAGACGTAGACTCTTGATAGTTGGGCCTATTAAAAACTTAACAGATTAAATTCAATCAGCAATTCAATAATGGTTCAATAATGAAGCAGTAGAAAGAGCAATTTCACATCATAATATAGCTTGTCAAGCTTTTGAAAAAAAAACTAGTCTTGATTACTCCACAACGTATTTTTGTATTAAATTATGATGTTTCTCAACGAGGTGCTGTTCTTAGTAGGAATAGTACTAAGCAGTGGGTAACCAATTTCAGAAATATTGCTATCGCATTATACGTGAACCCAACTGCTAGGCCTTGCATATGGTCTAAACGTTCACCATACTGTATGCTGGCAATACTGTATGCGTGCAAATCTATCAACCCGTTAGTGACCTGGTTCTATCAGGGATTGGAGAATACTTCCGATTTTTACGGAGCTATTTCAAACACAATATTTTTGTTACCAAACCTTACAAGTGTTTTAACCTTTTGTGCTAGTGAGCAGATTTTTGTAACTATACGAAAGAAAGTTTCTACAATACAGATACCTACCATGATATACTCCGAGTAATGAAAACGTTTAGAAACAATAGGAACACGTGTAGATGTGAGTAGGGAACTACCTACCTCAAGTTACGTCACACAAAAAATGGTACAGTATGGATATGTATAGGCTAGACTTCAAGTTAATAACTTTAAGGAAGTGTGAGTATTTTTAGCTAAACATATAACCAAACTTTAAACATAATGTATAATTTGACAGTTTTTTTGTTACTCATTTCAAGCAAATAAGTCGCTCAAGTATTCGTCGTAATATGCATAGCAAATTCTTCTAGCTCATGGTCATTAAAAATACACCCGTCGCAGCAAACCTGCACACTAAGTACATTTCCATTTAGCTGGACGGACTTTGACAAAAATGATTCCTTAAACTTGGTTGATTTATTTCCTATTAAAATAACTTAAGATTTAACAAGTACTTAGCTTTTTAGCTTCAAGGAAGGAGAAGTGTATGTTCGTTACCTGACAATATTACTTTCTTCAGGGATGTTAAATAGTTTTTTTAATTACTAAATATCTTTAATTAAGCGTTTTAAAGTTAATTTAGTTTATAATTTAACTCTCATGTAAGCGATCCCATAAGAGAATCGTCAGAGATTTTAATTCTTACTAATATAACTTTCGTGTTTTATAGATATATCATTATGTTCTAAAGTAGCATGTCAGCTATAAAACGTAAGATGATGTATGTATTGTGAATAAGATATTTTTTCACCGTTATAAAGGTAAACTTCAATACCCTCTAACTGCAGTTACTAACACGGTCACCTTTGGTTACTACTGTATACAGAACTGCAGAAATTGAAGCCGAGTCGGTGGCTCAACAGTTTATTAATTTACTCGTATTTCTTACACGCATGTATAGTATAATGAGGTCGATTTGTGTCTTATTATCTTATCTGCTTTTAAGGTTTCGTCACCGTTTCAAGTGTATCTGGCTATTTTGTATTAGATAGTTTAATTTGATAAACTAAACGTAATTTCATACAAGAACTGCAATAGGCTAAAATAAAACACCAAAAATTCATAAGCAATACAATAATACAAAAACTAGTCTAAACAAGTAAACTTTCCAAAACTATGTATTAAACACTATTCTAGCATTAAAGCTTTTTATTATTGGACATTTTTTATTGTCGTATTTAATTGCAATACATTACCAACAACTATAATTTTACTAACTTTTTACAACGTATATAGCTGTTACATTTGGTCATTGCTCTAAAATAATTCATTTACAGGTTAAGGCCCCTCTCATTTACAGAGAGGGCCATGTGGCCCTAACTTTGCCTGACTAAATAAATTATTTTTAATTTCATTTCAAATAATGTGTTGTCTTTTATTTCAGCATAAAATATACTGCTTAAAACGTTTGCAAAGTCACATTTCTGGAAATCAATAATTAAATAACATAGCTAAATTAAATTTGTATTCTGAAAGGACTTTGCAATCCACTGATTAGCCTAAATAGTGTTTTTTTTATCCATCCAGGTAGCTTGATACGTATTTTTATTAGTTTGCCAGAAGCACTTTATAAATTCTACAGTAGACTCTGGAATCATTTATCTTGACGTTCCCGCCGAGTCAGATCACGTCTCTACTTTCATTTTCTTTTAATCGCACGCGTTTCTTGTTATGGAACTTCCTAAACATCGGATGAGAAAGCTTTCATGTTCAAATATAGTTTCTGTCAATATGAACATTATTCGCATATACAAGGAAAAACTGGTACCAAAACCTGGTCTGAACATCTAAAGACGAAAATGGTTTGCTTATTTATAAGAACGACATTAACAAAAAATGAAGGTTTTTGAGATATTATGAAACGCATACATATTTTACTCTAAAGTATTGTATGGAGCAATGACATACGGTGACTAACGGTACATTTATTTTTTAGAAGCAGTGAATGGTCGAGAAACCCAGTCCAAACCATATTGCAAAATCTACCGGTTTGAATGTATGACTTTTGGCCTTTTTTGTTTTGGGTTTCTACGACTTTGGCATTTACATGAGCGTAGCGAGTGAAGCTCTTATACTAAACTTCTGCTTTTGTTTTCCACATCACACAATTGACTTTGAATACTGCAAATAGGCATTCAATTTACGTGAACCAAAGATACCATTGACTTTGGATATTGCAAAAAGGCATTATTTTCACGTGATCCAAATATATCATTGACATTAGATACTGCAAGTAGACATTTAATTTATGAGAGCCAGATGAGCCATTGACTTTAGATACTGCAAGTAGAAATCTCATTTATGAGAAACAGATAAAGCATTGACTTAGGATACCGCAAGACAGTAGACATCCCATTTATTTGAAGCATATGTACAATTGACTTTGGATACTGCAAGTATACATCCCATTTACATTAACCAGATGTAGTATTGAATTTGGAAAAGTATGGGACTGATATGCTAGCACCACTCAATATTGCAAGCAGACAACTGCATCGTACACCTAATCAAGTTTTGTTTGTAAGGGATGGGCCATACCTTGGACTTGTTGAGGTCTAACATCGACTTGTTTATACATAACATCATTAGTTGATAGCCCGATGGGTCCTAAAACTGGACTTGTTGAGGTCTAACATCGACTTGTTGGGACATTACATAATTAGTTAATATCCCGATGAAAAATATAATCTGTGTTCAGAAACTATCTTACTTGGAATCAAACCAGCAACCTTCATATTTGAAAGCGAGGACTATAACATCATAACCCTTCTGCTACATAGACAATTAACGGTCCAGACGCAATGGCATCCACTGCACAGATAATTAAAGCAACGGACCGGCAAGGTTTTTAAACATCCCAACAACCTAAAAAAAGTTGTGTCAATGATTTGTTCTAGGTAAAATAGGAAAGAATGACATAAAAGATCATCTTAAGGATCGTCCTACCTCATAGCTTAATGAGATGCTCTTTTCAGTTTGAAAGCAAAATGTTTCACTTCTACTTTGATTTCTTTTGAATTTAAATTGAGAAATCCTCAGTAAGTAAAACCTTTACTTGTATCATATTTTTAAAATCTAGATCAATAGATACGTCTGTTTGAGATATATTCAAACCCTCTCTAGTAACATAACAGTCCTGTATTTAT